ATGATAAAAACTCATCAATAGAACGATATTCGCATGTGATAGCTATGAGAGCGAATACAACACGTCTGAAAAGAATGAGAATCCATGCAAAACATTTTGAAGTGAGCGTGTCATAGACAATAGCTTAGCATGCAATCATAATCGATTGCAATACTGAGGAACGCAACGGCTAACAGAAGGCCCAGCGATCTCGATTACCATCATAAACATGCTAATAAGATTGAACATAGCGGTCATCCGAACATAACATGTGCGATTTCCATATTTAATAGACCGAAGGGAGGGAGGGGGGGGGGGCAGCGGCCTGTCAATTCATCAAAAGGGGTAATGAGGCACCCGAACGTTAGAACCACTATATTAACCTATTCTGATACTTCGCGTTCATATCACTAAGCTTCTTCACTCTATAATGATAGTAACATGAAGTTCGTTGATCTGAGAATTAATCATCGTTGCCTCCAGTTAATGAACTGAACTTGCTGATCTGGGAGCGTGATGGAAGGCAAACCACTTTCTGAGCGATTCACTTAAGCAATTAGACCTGTTATGAACCCAATATCGAATTCCGTTCCGTTGAAGGTGCTTGTATATGTCAACACAATACTGGTGGTGATACGTGTGAGCGGTGTGCGCGAGGTTATTACGGTAATGCTTTGCAAGGCACCGAAGACGACTGTACGGCGTGTCCATGTCCTGAGAATGGACCGTGTATTTTGCATACTGATGGCGATGTGATTTGTACTGATTGCCCGCAAGGTTATACTGGACGAAGGTATATTGATATCATTTTTCATCTGCTTGATCACAGCATCGATCACTTCTGATCATTCCCTTAATAAGCCGGCGTAAGCTAGTATTATTCTGTGAGTGTTCTGAACGATCACTTCTTTTATAAAATCGATGGAAGTGCTTTTACAATACATCAAAGATTGTGTCAATCCATTATCTTCATGAGAATGTGATAAAAACGAACACTACCAAAAAAAATCTAAAAATTAAGGAATTTTTT